TATACCTGGGCCTGAGCCCCTCACTCCCATGGCCCCTCGGCCGTCGCACCTCTGGCACCTCTCTAGGGCCGGCACTGACTAGCCCCTAGGTATGTGTGACCCTACATAATATACCCGGATATATGCATATGCTAGCTAGGCAAGCTAAGCTAGCCCAACCTTTTAGATTATGCATGACAGACAATAACAAATATTCTTACATTAATTATGCCAGCCTTGTTATGTTATCGTGTTACCAAATGAGTCTCCTTTGTTGCTATATCGTTGAGAGGTAATACCTCTGTTCCTGAATAAATTGACTTCTAGAATTAACTAAACTTTTTTTATATTTGACTGAATTTATAGTTAAAAGTATAAATATTTGTGACACAATGCGCATATTATAAGAAATATAGTTTATGATGTTTCTAATGATACTAATTAATTTGGTGTCATAAGTTTTGGTATTTTTTCTCTACAAATTTAGTCAAATTTAAAAAGTTTGACCGAAGATAACTCTTAAAGTTAATTTCTTTAGAGATGAAGGGATATCATAAATTTATTATCAATTACCAAGATATTAAATTTCAGTACCAAGATGCCAAGTACACAACCGAAGCATTATGTGGTACTCCTTCCGCCCCAAAATAGATGTCATTCTCACTTCCCGAGAAGTCAAGCACTTTTAACTTTGACCAAATATAATATAAAAAATATTAATATTTATAACACATAATTAGTATCATTAGATAGATCGTTGAATATATATACTTTCATAATAAACTTATTTGGAGATAAAATGTTGCACACATTTTCTATAAATCTAATCAAAGTTGAGAAAGTTTAACCTGCACGTATTCCATAACGACTTCTATTTTGGGACAGAGGGGGTATGTATATAATGTTGTGGTTCCTACCAAAGAACCGTAAAAAAATCCTATTAAAATACTAGTACTACTCATTCCGTCCATAAATATAATCTTTTTCTTTTGAAATCAGTCCATAAATATAATCTAATCTAACTTTGTCTCACAATCGACGTCTATTTGACTACTAGTTTCCTCTAGAATATAATCTTGCAAATAAATACAAGAGATTTTGTAACTTTAAATGCAAATCAACACATATACTTCACATGTTTCAAAACTAAATAATACAATAACTATTGATGTTTGTAAGTCGTAGAAGACAAATTTTCACAACTAGATAGGGAGTATTAAGGATTACATTCATGAGACGATAAAAACTGGTAAAATTGTGGGACGGCGGTCATCTCCCATAATTTGGCGCATGTGACAAAAATGATATAAGAAAGGTCGATAGTGCCTAGTATAGTTTTCGCGCACCAAATTGTAGAAAGTTATGGCGGGCATTGTATCACTATAGAATAACATGGTATACCAATGCTAGACTTGTTTAATTTGTCATTACCCGTGGTTATGCACATCTTTATCTATGAGTTCTAGTTTAGTTAGGTGGTGCCTTGGTTTTGGCCCTTTCTAAAATTAACCAAGTGATGTAGAGTTTTGCCTTGTTTTCCCTAAAAACATATTGAAATGTGGTTATGTCATGTTATATCAATACAATTCAGGTGGAGGCATGCCCAAAGCCAAAACAATCCATATATATTTTGGAGATGAGAGGAAAGTGCAAGATAGGCGGACCTGGAAATACGTTAGGATGGACTCCTTCCTATCCATTATGTTTTAGTCACATTTAGCCCATTCTTCCAAGCTTCTATGGCTAAAATTTGTAGGAGTGACTTATGACTTATGAGGGGCTCCATGCTCTAAGTAGTGGTACCCGGCCCTAGTGCTAGATCCATCATCCAAGGTAGACTTATATGCATCAAAACCTCAAGGATATATATTGTCTCAAATGTTAAAACAACACACAGAATAACAAGGTTGACATTAGTATGCACAACAAATCCATAAAAATTTGGCAATGTTCAATCTAATACTAGATAGTTTGTTACCTGTTGTACATATTCTTGTCATTTTGGACAAGGATGAGGACAAATTTGAGAACTTTCACTATTGATAGCTCTTAAAATAGTCTTTAGAAATAGTTTAATAAATTTATATACTTGATATCTTTGTCCATATTACAATATATAGAAAATCAACACTACCGGAAATAGTAGCTTTGCCGTGTGCCACAAGCACACAGCAAAGCCCAAAAAACACTCGGCAAAGGCTTTGCCAAGTGTAACACTCGGCAAACAGCACACGGCATTTACAGTGCCGGCAAACGTCTCTTTGCCGAGTGTTTTTTGTGCTGAAACCGATGCTCAGCAAAAAAAAAAAGTAACGTGACGGCGCGGAGACGGTCACGGCGCAGTGTCCGGGATTTGACACTAGGCAAAGCAGCCATGTTTGACGAGTGCCCCGGCCCTAACACTCGGCACTGACACTCGCCAAACATGGCTGCTTTGCCGAGTGTCAAATCCCGGACACTCGGCAAACATGGCTGCTTTGCCGAGTGTCAAATCCTAGACACTCGGCAAAGACTGGCCCAGAATGTACATATTTTGGCCACGTGTCCGTTTTCCCGAGTGTTTTTACCTTGGCATTCAGCAAAAGGCCTCTTTGCCGAGTGTAACATATATTTTTAGTTTTTATGGTTCGGTCACGTATAACGTACCCCGCTCAAATAAATATTACAGGCATCACACATAGTTCACAATAAGCATCACAGACAGTTCATATAGATATATCGACAACACATAAATGCAAATAAACTTCAGAATCACAAGTAGGTTCATTCACAACCACAAATACAAATAAAATTCACTGAGTGCAATGGTGTCCACTGAGTAGTCACTGAGTAGTCACAAGTAATCCACAAATGCAAATACAAATAAAATCACAAGTAGTCACTGAGGAGGCCACGGTGTCTACTGTGACCACGCTGGGTCATGAGGCTTATTCGATGCCGCTGATTGATTCTACACAAAGGAAAAGAGATAAATCATTCTAGTTTCTAGTTTATTTCTAGTTTGTAAACTATAAATCATTCTAGTTTCTAGTTTCTAATTTATTTCTAGTTTCTAGTTTATTTCTAGTTTTTAGTGTCTGTGCATCTTTGTAAGATTGATTCTGCATAAATTAGAAACGGTGATTATAAGGTTGTGAAATGACCCACAATGCCTGAAACAGTATTTGGAGTAGGTTGAGGAGGAGGGACTGGCATCGGTGGCAGAGGTTGACCGATTGCAGCGTAAACACCCCTCATATATTCAAACATCTACAGCCGCTCTGCCTCCATCCTCTGTTGGTCTGCCTCCATCCTCTGCCGGTCTGCCTCCATCCTCGCCTCTAGCTCCTCTCGACGCCTCGTTTCTTGTAACAGCTAAGCCTATAATATTTCATCCCAATGTTACAATGCAATGCAAAAGTATGTAAAAATCAATGAACGATGAATAAAACAGAAATAACCTGAAGTGCGTTCATCTGGAACCGTGTTGAGTCTGGTCGTGGGCGTATCGCCAGGCTGGAACTCGTGCTCCGTTCTCGAATCTGGCAGAGAGTGGGAGTACTGGCCGTGTCGATTGTGCCGTCGCCAATTCAGAACCATCCATGCTTCCTGCCTCCTCCTGCCCTCATGATCACTTCTCCATCAAGGTCATGGACGCTCAGATCGTACTATGGGCCATGGACCACCCTTGCCATCGATGTGTATCCATCGAGGCGGCTTTGCCGAGTGCCATTATTTTGTCGAGTGTGGTTGTTGTAGCACTCGGCAAACAGTTTTTTTTTTGCCGAGTGCCCGATGAAATACACTCGACAAATATTTTTGCACTCAGCAAATCTGTTGTTTCCGGTAGTGCAAAGTTGAACTAGCATGAATGCTGGTGCAGGTATTATATAGTACCTCAAAGGCCCAAACTTTATTGAAAAAATTAGGCAGGACAGAGCAGATAAATAAGTTATCCACTAGGAGTATTATATATATATTTGGACTATCTATGGATTTGAGCCCCAAATATCTCATTTGCAACCGGTGGACTGAAAAATGGGGTGGAAATTTGAAATGACAAAATTCTTCGCGATTTTTTCTTTATCTGGAGTATTTAATTTCTGTTCTAGGATTGTATATTTGCACTTTTTTTTCCTTAGCTAGGCTAATCTTTATTCTTTACAAACTAAAATCTAAGAGATATACTTTTTGCCAAGAATGAAATCGTTAAGAAGATCTGCCCACAGATAAACATATCATTGTTCATAAATAATATATATCTTCCTCCAACGTATTATACGTAGTAGTATGATGAAAATGAATGAATACCAGCATTGTTCATAGATAAACCTATACACGCACATTGATATAAACGATGAAATTAATTACCGGCATGCATGCAGTGGCCAGTCAAACTGTGGGATACTACTAAACCGCTAGCTATCATCACTTCATCAGCCATGCAATCCGCGGCGGAACGTACAGCAAGTCCGCTGTTGTGCTGTGTGTTGTGTTGGTACCAGCAACGCGAAGGAATCAAACCCAACCAAAAACGAGCAGGCAAACGATGAGCAGAACCGGATCGCGGTCCATCCAGATTTATCAATGAATTGAAAGAAGAATCCCTCCTCCCGTGCACGGACGACGTGTTCGTTTCCCATCTTTGTTTCCCGATTGATCCAAGTGCAGTTGCATTCGGCACCCACCCACCTCCCCACCTCCCGTCTCCATCCATCCTTCCCGGCCGCAACGATCGATCGGCCATGCATCTCACATTCTCACTGTTGACGACACGCCGCCATTAATAACTTCTCTCCGCTCTCTTCGACTTCCTATATATATACACCTTGAAGTCACCTACACTTCTTCTCCTCCGAGTCATCAATCTCCATTGCATTTGCATGCCAACGCGCTCTCCACCCACCCTTCTTGCCGCAGCCGTGCATTGCTAGCTGCTCCGTGCTCGTGCCCTCCTCGTCGATCGTCGTCTACGCGGCGGCGGCGGCATCTATCAAGGGAGGACCTAGCTAGGAGGATCTATCAAAGGAAGTTGAGCACACATGGCGTCGAACGGGGAGGCGGATCGGCAGGCGCCGCCGGAGGAGGAGGAGATCGTAGTGGAGATGCCCGTCAAGCCGGCGCCGCCGCCGCCGCCGGTGAAAGCTTCACCGGCGGGCGCCGGGGCCGGGGCGGGGGCGTCGTCGTGGGAGACGGCGGCGCTGCCGCTGAGCATGGTGGTGGTGCAGGCGTTCACGGTGGTGATGCTGCTCCTCTCGAAGCTGGCGCTCAACACCGGCATGCGCCCCTGCGTCCTCATCGTCTACCGCAACCTCGTCGCCACCGCCGCCGTCGCTCCACTCGCCTTCTTCTTCGAGAGGTACGGTTGTGCCTATCCTCTAGACCTACCTGCTAAAGTTCCTGTTTTTCTTCTTTTTTTTTTGTTGCGACCTGCAAACAACTTATTTATTTTGTCCTGCTAGTTAAAGATTCTTGTCATGCATTGCGTGTTATTGTTAGTTTCCTCCTTGATTTCTTTCTTCTTTACTGGAAAAATAACTCTCTCTTTTTTGAGAAATTAAAAATAACTCGCTGCATGCACAAGTATAGCAATATGAAAAAAAAGTATAGCAAAATATAAGTCTATAACATTAACTCTGCTAATTCACAAGATATAGATATAGAATTAATCTAGACACATTTCTTCTCATTATTCTCCCATACATGCATGCATAGTAGGTGGTTACCCGTACGTCCCTCACACCGCCTGTGAATCTGTGATGTGAAGCAGCATCAACACTAATAAAAACTGAATGCACACACAAATTTGTTTATTTCCTGCTGGTTCAAATTTTAATTATGTCCCTATGTACACTATATATGCATTCCGAATATCTGATCAGCTCTCTAGATACGTACGTACGCCGCTATGTCAGCACGAGTAGTACATGATGCTTCGATAATATAGTTTTTTCACAAAAGATTTTTTTTGTTGTGATTTGATTTGACTTGAACTGAATCCACACAAGATATTTAGATAGATTTTTCAGTTGCACTCGCATGCATGCGCGCCCTGGCCCTGGTCGCCGCATGCATGGCAACACTAGTTACTACACATTTTATTTTTAGTTTGATATTTTGAAATGGCACATGTCAACAGTAGTAGTCATCCTAAAGATTTTATTTTTATCTTGAAATGGCATGACAAGTTGACAACAGCCGTCGTACATGTTTAATTTTTGGGAAAGGCATAGTTGACAATAGCGTGCACATGCATGACATATGCAGTACTTTTTGCCCTGTACCGCTGTACGTATCTAGCAAGTGCATACAGATATAAGTATTATATATTTTATATTAAATACTATTCCGTAGTGTAGAAGATTTTGTTCGTGCATGCACATTGTTGATGATGTGCATATATACCGGATACGAGTACGTGGTCAAATATATATTACCGCCAAGGAACAACATTTTTTCAGTTGAGCTAGCTACCACCCGGCCGGTTGCCACGTGACAATAGCATAGTTTAGTATACTAGTATACATGCATGCACGTACTCACAGTTACAGATACCAAAATTAAATCAAATACACAAGATTATACATATATATCAAATATGATACTTTAATTAATATAATTTGGGTCCTCGAATGAAGAGATAGATAGATGAGTGGATGGATGACTGTTTGCATCCGGGATCCAGGGGCAGCAGCTATTGTTGACTGTTGTTGACTGCCAACCGTTACCCCCAAAAGACAACACAACCTCAATCTGCATGCATTGCAGTCTACATCTCCATTGACCCCTGCTGCGTTCAGATTCGAAGAAACCGCGAAATTTCAAAGCGATTTGATCTCTGTCTCTGTCCTTTTGGACTAGTGCCTACGAGCTACTAGAGTCTAGAGCTAGCTACTTCTCTGATGAACAGGGACAGGATTTAGGGGGTGTTTGGTTGCAGGGACTAATTTTTAGTCCCTGTCACATCGGATGTTTGACACTAATTTGGAGTACTAAATATATTCTAATTACAAAACTAATTACACAGATGAAGACTAATTTACGAGACGAATCTATTAAGCCTAATTAATCCATCATTAGAGTATATTTACTGTAGCACAACATTGTCAAATCATGCACTAATTAGGCTTAATAGATTCGTCTCGCAAATTAGTCTCCATCTATGTAATTAGTTTTGTAATTAAAATATATTTAATACTCTAAATTAGTGTCCAAACATCTGATATGACAGGGACTAAAAAATAGTCCCTGGAACCAAACACCCCCTTAGAGTCGCTTTGTTGATGTGCCTGGCTGCCACTAATTGCATGCGGTGCTAACGGATAATGCCCATCTGACTCAGTCAGCACTAGTAAGGGAGTGTTTGATCTGGTGACTAAAATTTAGAAGGTGTGTTGTGAGGGTGTTGTATGGGGTGTTCGGATATTAATAAAAAAATAAATTACATAAGCCATCAGTACTCCACGAGACGATTTTTTAAAGCCTAATTAATCCGTCGGTAGCACATGTTTACTGTAGCACCATATTGTCAAATCATAGACTAATTCGGCTTAAAAGATTCGTCTCACAAATTAGTCGTAAACTATGCAATTAGTTTCGTAATTAGTCTATATTTAATACTCTATACATGTGTCAAACATTCGAACGACTAAAATTTAGGAGGAGCAACCAAACACCACCGAGGAGACCGAAAATGGAAGAGAGGTCTCTGTCACACTCATGTCGCCGTCTCGTCTCATGCCTCACAGACAGATATAGCGACCCTCACGCGTCACCCTCTTGTGGGCGATGACAGAGATCATGCCTTTTTGCTGTCTCCATGACCGAAGACCCCCATGAGTCAGTAGCCCAGCTCAAACAGGTAGCTGCTGCCAAATGCCAACCCGGCCACTCGATTAATTCTTACTGCACTGTCAGCACCTGCATATCGTTATCGTGTGTTGCCTAGTTCTCGGCGTGCCAATTAATGCAAAGCATATCGAGGAGGCGTATTCAACTTTGCCAGACACAATGTGTATAATGCCAAAGCTTGATGACAGATCGGTACCTAGTACTTCCATTTTCAGTATTTTCCAACGTTATACCTCACATGTCTTCTCTGTTATATTATACATAGTTGTTGTTGTTCTGGTACGATCACGATGTACTACGAACTTCTTGTTAAACAGCAGTTACAAACTGTTGGCTATACTATATATGCAGTGTTTTTAATGAGATTAAAGATATATGTCCTGATTCCTGATATAGCACGATCGATTTGATCTTCTCCGATTCTTTTTCATGATTTCTTTCCATCTTGGTCTGTTGCAGGGAAATGTGGAAGAAACTGAACTTGGCTGTGTTGGGTTGGATTTCCTTAAATGCTACATTTGCGTGAGCACTCGCACTCAGCCTGATTTCAGCTGTCATACTCCCCTGTCTTTTTCCAACGAATTCTAGATACATACAAGAGAAGAGAAACTGTTATGGCAACCTTTACTTCATCCATCTGTACATACATAACGTGATGATCTGCTAGGAAGTAAAATTGTTCTTACATATGCCGCAGAGTTGTGTTGGCCATGGGGCTGTACTACTACGGCCTGCAGGTCACAAGCGCCGCGTACTCCGTCGACTTCCTGAACCTGATCCCAATCGTGACCTTCGTCATCGCCATCTTGGTCAGGTACGCAAACAAACCAAAGCATACATGGATCTTTGGTGGTATGCATGTCTCCCATTTACGCGTGTGATGTGATGCTTGTAAAGTTATCTGTTGCTCTCCACCGTGTGGACGCGCAGCAGGGGCAGGCGCCGAAAGAGCTCCCCTGCTGCTGCACTGTAGCCACTACAGGGGCAGGCACCGAAAGGTTACTCTGCTGCACTGTACCCACAACAGGGGCAGGCGTCAAAGTCAGTCATGTTGTCACATCTAGTCATTTTAACAGCATGGCAGCCTGGCATGTCTGTGTACTAGGATTGGATGGGTAGAGTTGTATATTTGGCTTTGCACTGCAACTCAGTAAAGTGAGCGAGTTCAGTTTTACCATCTCCTCTGCAGAGCTCCGGCCAACGCTGGTGCTTGTGCTGTGTGTGTGCGCGCTTTGTTGTCCCTCTTTTTTTCTACCTCTAGCCATAGTGTGTGGTCAGCAACATCGGTGAACGGTCGGCTCACCCGTGTGGGAGATCCTGGGGCCAACAATGCTTATGTAAATGCATTCAGAGCCGAGAAGGTGGCGCTGGGGAAGTGGCCTGGCAGGCTGAAGATCCTGGGCGCTCTGACGTGCGTGGGCGGGACGATGATCGTTAGCCTGCTCAAAGGCCATCTTCTGCACCTGTGGCCTACGCACCTGCTGAATACCTCCCACGCCGATGCGCCGGCGAGCGGTGGCCATCACCATGACATGCTCACCGGCACACTGTTCCTGTGCGGCAGCTGCCTGAGCTACGCCCTGTGGTTCATCGTACAGGTAAATCTAGTCTTTGCTTGAACAACTAAAATCCACATCTCCCTCTGTGATGAGTGATGGCTGATGGCTCCATCGTGGTGCATCCAATGACGACAGGCAAGGCTTGGGAAGGTGTTTCCATCAAGGTACTGGGGGACGATGCTGACGTGCCTGTCAGGAAGCATACAGGCCTTCATCATCAGCGTGTTCCTCAGCCATGACAGGGCAGACTGGAGACTCAAGTGGGACCTGCAGCTTCTGACGGTCGTCTACTCGGTAATTATACATACTGACTGACAACTAGTTAACCAGACTAGTTAACTAGTATAATCAATAGCGTGATGGATTACACATGTATCTTTTGCTGATGACGGATCATCATGCATCAGGGTGTGTTCAACACGGGCATCACCTTCGTCCTCATCTCATGGGCGGTGAGCCGTCGCGGGCCAATCTACCCTTCCATGTTCAACTCACTGTCACTGATCATCACCACGGTGATGGACTCGCTCCTGCTCGGCACCAAAATCTACGTTGGAGGGTGAGTGAGCCAGCACCTTCATTTCAGGCCTGGTGCTATTGCACTGTAGCAGATCTGACAACTGAGCTAGTCTAGTGACCGGTGATCGGTAAAACTCGAGATGACATGCATGTTTATAACTACTAAGTGGTGTTTATACATGTGCACGCGCAGGGTGGTGGGAGCGCTGCTGATCATCGTGGGGCTGTACGCGTTCCTATGGGGGAAAGGCAAGGAGCTGCAGGCTGCGGCGGTGGAAAAGAAGAAGCTGAAGCAAGAGCAGGAAGAGGAGGAGCAGAGGTGGGGCGAAAGCGAGATGACCTAGCTAGTCTCTAATAAGTTGCTAGCAACAACCTGATTTATATATGAGGGTGCTAGCAATTGTAGTCTAACTATATACTGATGAGGCAGTATATGTAAACCTAGTGATGATGGTAAGGTGAGACGACTGATGATATATCATCGATGCTAAATTGAACACCTGAGAAAAGAAGAGAAGAGATTACAAATAAATAAACAAAACATACAGAGGCAGTTTGGCAGGCATTATATATGTATGTTGTATAATGCATACCAGCATATATATGCAAAATTCATGCAGTTCAATACATATATATGACGTACTTAAGGTTAGCTGTATTGAATTGCAATGAAGCATGCATTGCGGGTGGACGTGTTTCCCTCCATGCATGCATGTTGCATGATGCGTGATATATCTATTAGTCTTGTTTCAGTCTCTTGAATTTTGTTCCAGGCCGGCCAAAAACTATGTTAATAAGCTACCTAAACAATGTGTATGGCATGATCATATATTCATGCATATAATATGCATGACACAAATCATATCGTCGATGATCCATTAGTGTTTTTCTTATTTTCAGCCTTTCAGGCCGGGGACAGGGTGCGGATGATATATATGTAGCTTGCCCGCTACTAGAGGTATTCATGAACCAATTGTTGGCGACCTAACGGCGAGCTGCTTATACGCATTTTTGACATTCGTTTATTATCCAAAAAAGTAACAATAGCCATTGTGAGACTTCCTAACAGATATTGAATACAACACATCATTTTTTTCTTGGAAAAAAAGGAATAGTTTCCGGTATCTACGACCGCACACTGCCAAGTTATCACAATGTTAGCAATCAAATAGCTGCTTCGAAATAAACATGAAAAGAACACAACCAAGAGGGAAATAATCATAAGCAAACTCTTTTTTTTTAACTGGAAATACTTTCCATTACTCATCGGTCGCAGCCAAATCTCCAGACACCAACCCCTCTAAACCATGAGGGACCTCATCCCAAGTGGTAATGGTTCCACTTGTGTTTGTACAGCCAATAGCTGCAAGGGTGTGCGCTAGCTTATTATTACAGTGCGAGGGCAGACGCTACAAGAAACTGGACTACCTAGTAACAAGTGTTTGATCTCTGTGATTACGCCACCCATCGCGATGAGAGTCTGAACTCGTTCCCCCCCAATCACCAGCTTCACCATAGTTGCATCAGTCTCAAGCGTTGCTCTCCCCACTCCCATGTTAAGGCTTCCTTCAGCCCGGCGAGGAGGCCTAGCAACTCCGCGTGGAAGGCATCCTCCAGAAACTCCTCGCGGCCTGCTCCAGCTTTCAGCACCCGTCCCCAATCATCACCGAGAATGAAGCCCCAGCCACCCGACTTACTCGCTTCATGAAACGCCCCATCAGAGTTTACTTTGACTACTCCCAGTTCAGGTTTTAACCATCGCTTCCTCTGACAGTTTTCTGGCACACTCCTTTCTCCTTGTGTTTTCTGAAAAGTGTCAGTCAATAGCGCTGTAATATATGCAACTTTAGAGGCCGATCTTCTTTCTCCTTCTTCTCTGAACTTGTCCCCCCCCCCTCACACACACACACACCAGAGCCACAGCAGCATAACCGTTGTTAACTGTTCCTTTCTCCCCATCCTGAGAATGTATTCCACCATCTCCTTCGCTGAATTAGCCTCGGCTAGTCTGCATCTTGTCTCCTCCATGTTTAACTCTCTCCACACCCCCTGGCCTCCTTACATTTCAGCAGCAAGGGTGCACCATCTTTGTTGCTTCTCAATCCATTTTTTTGGTGAAAATGTCTAAATGCACAACCTCTAAAGCTCTGCTCGCCTATCGGACGGACTCCCTTGTGTCCTCATGTTTGTTACAATAATGTCCAAAACTGCAACCAATATCCAAAGAAGGTAGGATATGTATATAAAAAGTGTGTATCGTTTTTTCTCAAAAACAAGATCATTACTTGTACATCATATTGCCCAACGCGAAGAGCTGCAAGACCCACAAATCAATATCTTCATTTTTCCATATGCCAGTTAATCAATTACCAGACATATGAGATATGGATTTAGGCGGAGTTAATCCAGTAGTTACTTGCATTGGCAAACCCCCTATCTTTTTTAGATAATGGAAGAAATATCCGGCTTCATTCTCTAAAGAGAGAAATTACCAAATTATTACAAGTTAACCACTACAACAACTGAACCAAGTTTACAAAATAAATCCGAATCAAAACTCAATTGAAATAAATGGCTAACCAAAGAATACGAAGAAACGCATAGCCGCATTCTCTAACTTGTTGGCAAATCTCATGCTAGTCGGTTTTTTTACATCTTCAAACAAAAAGGGGGAAAAACACACCAACCGGTAGGACTGGGAGCATGACGAGAAGCTTTCCCTTGCGGCCTAGTCGGCCCAATAGGCTCCAGCGCCTTGGGCCCAGCCTTGACATGCGGCTTGCATGCATGCATTTTTTCCGTCCTCACACCAATGCAACGAGCTTGCTAGCTACGTAGTACGTACGTGTATTGAGACATTGAGTGATCAAGTCAAGACCTACATGGCTACACGCATCACACATCAACTTCATTAGCTGGAGATGGCCACATGCACTAGGAATGTATGTGACAGCAAACAAAAAAAGGGAAACCCTCCAAGGAACACAGGCTTACAGTCCTTCACCATCAGGACAAAATATTGGATATGCTAGACCTTGAAATAGAACATACCAAAGAGAAGAGGTCGAAATCACTGTAAAGAAAGCCGTCTGGCTGCTTCCCATGATAAACACACCAACTGCCACCACAACTGCACCAAGATCTGAAGAGAACCAACAGATCTGATAGACCAAACTCTCACTGGCTCTTTGTCAACACTGGATCGAGCGTCGATGAGGTATAGGGAGAGGCTGGAGAGATCTTATTCCAGTGTGTCATCGTCGCCACCACCTCGTCGATGATGCCAGAAGCCAAACCCTACAAGAATGGGGATCAACAAAAAATTTAAACTATATGAAGGGATCAAGTTCCACTCCTCTAGCCCCATCGAGATCGCCGGATGGAGAGAGGAGGAGAACCGAGGCGATCTTGCGAGGAATGGCGGCGGCGGCTGTTTTTCAAGGCGAGAGATAAGTCCATTTTTTAAATACACAAGCAAGGTACATGATGCCTGGAGTCATAACTAATAAGATGGCCTAATAGATATATTCTCTCAATTGCATTGAAAACAGGGGCGTCTTGTCTGGGCTGCTAGCTAGGCCTCAAGCAAAGGCTAACAAGGACTGGGCGGGAAGTCTTGGCCAAATAATTATAAACACAGACTCTTGGTGGGCCATGGACGAAGAAGCCACCGCCGCCAAGGATACTCTTGAGATAACTATCTTTTTTCTTCCCAATATTTTTTTTAGGAGTTGTCAAACTATAAATTTTTAGAAGAAAAAAATAGAAAACTCTTGAAGATGCTCTAAGAAGGAATACCCGTCATTTGCAAGATGATTGGGCCATCCACAGCTTAGCCGGGCCCTCCCATTTGCAAGATGATTGAGCCGACCCTATATGAATCGCCAAGGAAAGAATACCCGTCAGGGACAGGACAGCAGGCCGCTGCGCTGTATTATGTACAAGGGCCGCAGCCCACGGCGGAAACAGTTGCCCACACCGTTCTGTTCCGCTAGTACCCGTGCAAGCACCTAGCGGCGGCGGAGGTGGCTTAGCCGGCCGGCCGACCGGCGGGCGGCGGCTATTGAGGGTGTCGCAGCGCTGCCGGACACGGAGAAGAGGTAGATCGTACGCGCGTAACTACTCTACGTGTCAAGAGAGACGAGTGAGGACTGTGGAGAGGAGGAATGCATGCATGGTCAAAATATTAGGGTAATATTTTCTTTTTCTTTTTTCTTTTGGGTCGATACTTCATTTACCGACCACCCACCTCCTCTAGCTCGGCTCGGCAGCAGCTGACATATATCCACGCTAGATCTCTAGTTTATATAGATTAGATTAATATGGTCGTTAAAATATTTATATTTTAATCTAAACCATAAACCAAATGAATCAGGGTAAATTCTTTTGACACGTCTAAAGGCTCTAAATCTAGGATTTTCTAGAGCTACAGACATATAGCTCTAGGAAATACATGGATTTCTAGAGCTACGGACATCTAGCTTTGCCAAACAATACCTCAATATATCGTAGAGTATATGGTACAAACCTAGCCGGTACAAACCTAGCCGGTAGAATCACAATAATTCAGCTCTTCTTTATATCTTTCTCAACATGCATGCATCACTCATGCACATACATAATCTATGTACTATATGAATGTATTGTGTTTTACTTGGTATTACTTATTACTTGTTCAATAACGTATTCGCTCGTTAATGAGGAAAGTTTCTTCACCGCGGTCACAAGATTATATATACTAGCTTAGCTGCTAATGTGTGTCATGTTCTTTCATCATTTTATGATGTGTTATGGTAGAAAAACAAATGTGAAACCATGAGTTCCTGGTCACTGACTGTGAATTCTCTGCTTCCCTAGCCTTAGCTTCTGGATATGACTCATCAGCTATATATATGTATAGTAGATCTTCCATTCCAGTAACCTCAAATTCTTTTTTGAAACGAATAACCTCAAATTCTTTACCTCGCTGTCAACGCAAGTGAAATCAACGTGCACACGGGCTCGGTCGGCAGATCAGTTAGTTTGTCAAAAATGACTAGTTCGTCCGTGGCTAGGTTAGGAGGAAGAACATGTCATAATATGTATGGCCAGGCCGGTTAGTGCACAAGGGATTAGAGTAGTTAGCAATACGACGATGGGTGTTTATATATTCTACATAGTTTCCATTTGCAGGCATAAGCCAATCAGGTGTTCGTGCCCACCTATACATATTTACTACCAAGTAAACTCTTGAGTAATGGTCAATTGATTAACAAAGTCAACTCCTTGCTTTGTCGCATTGTTTGAAAAGTCCTTGCTCAAATGTTTTTGCACTTGCAAGTACTACTCTATATAGCTGGCACGACATGATGAGCGAGATGCCAGCAGGCATTTTGCTCTTCTAAACAAACACAACATGGCAGATATATATAGCCTATCAATCCATAGCTTAGAGTGCAGGAGATACTAATTAATAATGATGAACCGATTATGCTTAGAGATGAGCTGCATCAAGCTGGATACATACTACATAAATATGCATCTGCAACTTTAGGCTTATATTATATATACTGCAATTATTGAGAGCGATATGATGGAGCAAACGTGAGAGGTTTATCGACAAAGCGCGTACTTAGCAAGCAAGCTGTGGTCCAGCCTAGATAACAGAGTAAACTCTTACTGCATTGGTATGGAAGAACAGTCAAACAGTCGAGCTCTAGCAGGCCTCTAGCGCTAGGCAAGTCTGTGTCTATCTGATGAATATATGGAAATAAATTCTCTCATCTCCCAGATGAATATGAAACCTTTCTGAACCAAACTGGCTTTGACATGGGGTACATCATCAATCAGCTTGTCTGGAACTTGGAAACTTTTTTTAGTGATATAAAACGTACTACGTATAGATATATCCACATCGCTAAAATCTGTGTGTGTGTTTTTTATAAGGGCTAAAATCTATGTTGGCTCTTGGCTGCTATAGTGAACGCTGACCCGTCAAAGGGTTCATGCATGCATAAACTGGTGCCAGGACAGCAAAATTCAAAACTAAACACATCAAAAGGTACCAGCTACACTATTATCAATCTGCGTAATTAATTTAAATTGCGGCAAATTTAAAATGAACTGAATGAAACATTATTGCAATTTGGTATGTTCTGTGTGGTGGGGGCTTGTCGGCCTCCCGCTACAACAGCCATTATTAACTATTGCATTGCAATTTACAATTGGGGGGGACAATCTTTATGGCACATGTACACCAATTGTTTATGGCAATTGTTTTTTCTTCAAATGAGCAGGTTCCTTGGCCAGGAGATTGTCTAGCTAAGGTGCAGGCCTTGTTGCCTTTTGGAGATTAGTCGCCACACATTTTTGCAGTAGATTAAGAAGCACTTGATGCATGTCGTAGCACGTAGTGTACTGCATTTGATCCCATGTGTATCTGAACCTAGGGATCAGGTTCAGTGGTTTTGGGGATTATTGGTTTCTGGTATTGTCCGACTAACTAACTAGCACCTGCATGCCTGTGTTGTTCTTGAGAAATAGTCGCTATGACTTGGCAGTGGCAGCTTAATTAACTTAGTTAACTATACAAGGCATGCATGCGTTTTATAAAAGGGAAACACATGCATGCATTTACCTTCTCCTGCCACTTCTTCCAAAATAGGATTACAAGAAATAGGCATTCAATTCAATTTCCATTCGTTTCTGATCTGGACACAAGAGATCGATCAAACAAAATGCAGCACAAATTAAAAGGGCGGGAAGCAGCAAGCAAATGCATGATTCTATCTGCAAAAAGTTGGCCAGACGGACATGCTCCCTGAGTGTCTGACAGTCATAGATAACCATTAAAATTTCAGAAATTCTTTCATTTGCCACAAGTTGCGATAGTCTTCTTTCAATATATATATACATATATGCAATGGTGCACTTGTACTCCTATCTAAGCCAGCTCGTTGACTGTCCACTCGCTTCCATCCATGACATCTTCAAATCTTCAAATGACATTTTTTTTTTGTCCCTAGTTTGAAGTACATGAGAAACTGGTGGTTTAATCAAGCTCTGCCACCACCGTTGAAACAGGAGGAAGAACAACATGCCTTTATTTCATCTGATTTCGAATCTCTAATCAAGCTCTGCCAATCATAGTGCAGGTGCATGCATATATCATACACCAAATTTGATCGAATCTCTAATTCTCTATTTGTATTCCAATGTTACCAAAGGCAAAAGTGATGTTAATTAATACAGATAACAATGCCAGCATTTTCCAAATTTTCATGTTGGTTATATAATTTTAGTTTGGATTAAAAATGGCGCTGTCAGGTAAACCACGGGTGGTAGATGCTGCTCCAATTGGGAATTCGGAATTGGGTTCAATTCAAACACCGCCCTCTCGATTTAATGCATGCATGCTAGCTACTACTATAGTATCGAAGCCGAGCCAATTCTCTGTACCGCCGGCTACAAGAATCGAAGCCGAGCCAATTCTCTCATCGAATTAATATACGTCGTCGTCAGAGCTGCAGATCAAGCAGCACCGCCGGCTCCGTGCGAAGCTCCAACAGGTTGACGCCGAACAGCCGGAGCCACCGCCCGCGCTGCCGCCGCGCTTCCTCGTCCTCTTCTGCTGCTGCTTCTGCTTCTTCCACGGCCACCACCTTCTCCGCCTGCTGGTGCTGGTGATTGCCGGCCGCGGGCAAGACGACCAAGCTCTGCGGCTGCTGCTGGTGCCGTGTCGTCGGCGGCACGGCGAGGATCGTCGGGACGACGACCGCAGGCACCGCGCCCTGCTCCACGGCACGAGTCCACCGCCGCTGGCAGTCGATGAAGAGCCTTGTGCCGTCGCGGCAGAACGTGACGGTGTCCCCGGCCGCGAGGCGCTTGTCGCGGACGTAGCGGTTCCAGCCCTTGGTCATGACGTAGCTCTGGCTGCTGCTCCAGTAGGAGTAGCGGAACCGCCACGCCGCCGGGGACGGACCGCCGCGGGCGTCGTGGAAGCACAGCACCGTGCCCCGCGACCTGGCCGCCGCGCCGCGCAGCGGCAGGTGCCGCTCCGCGAACTGCTTCGGCACCACCAGCCGGTTCAGCTTCCCCACGTCGCTCGGCGTCACCACCTTCTCGAACATGCGCTCGCGCCTGCTGCTGCTGCTGCTGTGGCTGTGGCTGTAGTCGCCACCACCGACTCCTCCTCCACCGCCGCCGGCCGCCGCCGTCGACTCCAGCTCCAGTGCGAACGTCAGGGCCATCTGGAAGCCAAGCGATCGATGATGCAGTAGTGCACGGGATCGATTCACCAGCTATATATCTGCGACTGCGCTAGTTGCTTGATGAATAATCCGGCGCTGTCGCCGTCTGAATTTATAGGGAAGGGAAGGGAAGCATGCAGGTGCAGTGCCATTTGGACCTGGGGTCTCTCTGACTTTTCTGCATGCCGTGGTTCGCGATCGGTTGGCAAGCAGCAATCCGCATCCGTTGTTGGTGGTGGTGCTTTGCATCCAACGGACCGGACTGGATCATTTACGCTGCGCTGCGTTGACCGTACGGATCGACCTATAGCTTTGCTCCCTTGTTCGTCGTTTACTGATGCATTGGCTCCGTATTCAGCCTTCGGCTTCTTTTTTTTTTTTTAAGTCGAAACAATATTTTTCTCTCACAATAATTCAGTCGGAATAGTGTTTTTCAGTCAGTTTCAGCCAAGTTTCAGACCAGCGAACGGGACCATATATCCATCGTTGGTCCGGCCATATAAATGGCATTTTTGCTCTTCTTATTATCTCTGAAAATGAAAATGCATCTCCAATTAATGCAAATTAAAATCTTACTGGAACCATTTGACATGAGCTTCTTAGATATTTCTTGTGCTACATACACATAAATCTTATCATCTTCTACGGTTCTACCTATTGTTTTACTCGATCGTTCCAAATTATAAGACGTTTTGGCTTTCTATTAGCCTATTCGCTTCTCGTAAACGATCGTGAATTATAAGCCAGAACAGTATTTTTCTCTCGCACCAAACCAGCCAGCAGTAATAATCCACGATCGTTTCAGCCGAAACGAACAGGCTGTATATTCGTAGCTTTTGCTATGCACATAGATATATATTATGTCTAAATACATAGTAAAGCTAGCTATTAATCTAGAAATGCCAAAACGTCTTGTCATTTGGATCGGAGAAATTACTTAGTAACTTCCGTTGTACTACCTGTTCAATTCTGTGTGACAAGATTATATGAATATTTCTTCACCGCGGTTTACAAGATTGTATGCATACTATATATGTCATTCGAAGTAATGCAGATCTGGAACGAAGAAAAACGAGCACTGCTGTGTATGTGCTTTCATCATTTCTCATGCGTAACATGGTAGAAAAACAAATGTGAAACCATGAGTTCGTTCCTGGTCACTGCCTCAACTCTCATCTTCCTTCTGGGTCATCGAGACTGACTGACTCGATCAGCTGTACATATATGTAGCTTGCTCTTCCTGTAACCGGTAATTATTCTTCACCTCGCTGTCAAGTTGTGAAATCAACGCGCACAGTCTCGGTCGGTAGATCAGTGAGTTTGTCAAAAACGACTAGATCTCGTCCATGGCTTATGTCCAGGAAGGAAGAGCAGGTCAGCTGGTTAATGCAGAGAGGCCAGAGGGATCAGAGAGTAGTTGTTAGCAATGCAAGCAACGATGATGGGACGACCGGTGTTATTCGTACTAGATAATTTCCATTAGCAGGCATAAGCCAATCATGGTGTTCTCCTGCTGCCCCCATTGCACCTACATAATTGTTCTTAGTAAACTCTTGACCACGCACGCCAATTCACTAACAAGGTCCACTCCTTTGCTTTGTCGCATCGTTTGAAAAGTCTTTGCTCAGATTTAGTACTTGCAAGTACTGGGTGCTTGAGATGAGAGAGTTATCAAGTACTGGGTGCCATGTCTGTCAGGCATTTTGCTCTTCTAAAAAAAGACAACATGGCAGATATATAGCCCGTCAATCTATAGCTTAGAGTGCAGGGAGATATTAACAATGATGAATTGATTAGGCTTATATGAGCTGCATCAAGCTGGATACACATGTATATATGCACCCAAAAGTTCCTACAAGTCTTAGAGTATCATATACTCCAGCTTAGCTAGGCTTATATATACTGCAATTATTGAGAGCGATAGAGCAAACGTGAGAGGTTTATCGACAAAGCGCGTATTTAGCAAGCAAGCTGTGATCCAGCCTAAACAAAAACAACAGAGTAATTATTGCATTGGTATGGCGAAGAACAGTCAGACAGCCGCTAGGCAAGTCTGTCTAATGAATATATGCACACAAAAAAATCTCTCCTAGATGAATATGAAACATTTCTGAACGAAACTGCTTTGACATGGACACATCATCAGCTTGTCTGAAACTTGGAAAGTTTTTTTAGTGATAAACATACTACTTATAGATAGATATATCCACATCGCTAAAATCTGTGTTGTTGGCTCTTGGCTGCTAGTGAATTGAACGCTGACCGGTCAAAGGGTTCATGCATAAACTGATTCCAGGACAGCAGGTTTCAAAATTAAACACAGCAAAGGATACTAGCTCTTACTATTATATACCAATAATCTGCATATTTTGAAGAGCGGCAAATTAAAAATGAACTGAACTGAAATAATGCTGTGTGGTGGGGGGCTTGTCGGCCTCCTACAACAGCCATTGTTATTGTAACTGGGAGTAAACAATCTTTCAGTCTAAAAAAGATGAGTAATGGAGTGAAGTAACAAATAAAAATGGGCACATGTACAGTTGCAATATATAAATATATTATATGAGAATATAATGCCAGTGGCCAGCCTGGTGCATGATGTCACCCGGAAAGATGGTGTATGTCAGCCTACTAGTTAAGCGCCATTTGCCCCTGGTCAGGTCATTAGTCAAACAAAGTTCGTTCAGTGCCGCGGATTCCGATTAGCTGCAGGTTGCTCCTTAATTAATCAAACACACACCAATTATTTATGGCAAAATAAACAAAAGAAAAATCAAATGAGCATGCAAGTTCCTTGGCCAGGAGATTGTCTATCTATCTAGGTGCAGGGCCCTTATTGCCTTTGGAGACTAGTCGCCAGGCATTTTTGCCATAGGTTATTAGGTTGTTAAATACTTGATGAATGTCGTAGTGCACTGCATTTGATCCCATGCATGTGTATCTGAAACCAAGGTTCAGGTTCTCTGGCCCAAATCAAAACGGCTCTTCATCGTCAGGTAAGTTCCCGGCCGGTCCTGGGTTTTGGGGATTGTTGGTTTCCTGTATTGGCCGACTAACTAGCTACCTGCACCTTGCATCGTTCCTGAGAAGAATTAAGTCGCTATGGCTTGGCAGTGTCTGCTTAACTTAACTATCCAAGGCACATGCGTTTGTAAAAGGGAAACATGTACATATGCAGTTACCTGTTCCTACCACTTGCATTTTCCAAAATAGAGTTAAAAGAATCGGCTCAATTCAGACGCAGTTTCCATTCGATTCTGAACTGGACAAAAGATCAAACAAAATGCAGTAAAAAGTGGCAGGAACGAAGCAGCAGCAATGCATGATTCTATTTCTATCTGCGCTTTGTTATTTTCACATGTATAAAGATCAGACGGAGATTCGGAGTTCAAGGTATATAGAACAACCCTTGGTTTTTAGTATTTTGTGCCAAAAAAAAAAAGTTGGCCTGGCGGGCGTGCTCCCTGAGTGGCTGACAGTCATAGGTAACCATTACAATCCAGGAAATTCTTTCATTTGCCACAAGTTGCGATAGTCTGCTTTCCATACTCTCATATGCATGGTGCAGTAAGCTGTACTCCTATCCATCTCGTTGACTGTCCACTCGCCTGTCAAAACTGGTTGTTTACTCAAGCTCTGTCACCTTTACAAGGACTACGATTACTTATTCACCCTGCCTGCCACCACCGTTGAAACAGGAGGAAGAACAACATGCCATTATTTCATCTGATTTCAATAAAATATATATACAGGCCAACCATATATAGTGCAGGTGCATGTATATATGATACATCAATTTGATCGAATCTCTAATTGACTAATTCTAATCTATTTGCATGTCAACGTTACCAGAGGCACAAGTGATGTTAGTTAAAACGGACAAAAAAAACGGATAATGCACAGCATTTTCCAATTTGTCATAATGGTTTTAGTTTGGATTAAGCTGGAACTGGAAGAAATAAAAATGACGCTGTCAGGTAAACCACGAGTAGATGGGCATGTGCACAATGGGCCTTGACCCAGATCAACAGGCTGACAAAGGAGCCCATCATGCTAACAACAGTATTCGAAATAGTGACCATGGGCCGGCCCGACAGAGTATGGGCTGAATGCACGTAGGCGTTCAGCTCCCCGGCTCACTTCCATGTCTTTGTTTGCTCAAGAAAAAGAAAAAAAACTTCCATGTCTTTGTATGATAGCCGTCGCTTCAATCAAATCAAAAGAGGAAATATGAATGGATTAAAAAAAAGAGACCATAACAAATGCAACCTAAAAACTCAAAAGGAAAATATAAAATATTTAGTTAATTGTGTCACGTTATGGGCATTTGTAAATTCAAAAAGAAAAAAGAAAAAAACAACCACAATCACCCGTGCTGTCAGGGTTGAAGGCAAGTCTGAATGTCGTCTGATGGTGAAGTCTGAATCTCTGATGCCGAAACTCTGGAGTGAAAAGGCATGCATGGTGAAACACTTGAACGCTGCATGCGATTTTTTTCTCTTCACCTGTTTACCTCAGGTTAATTATTTTTAGGGATATAATCACAAACGAACTGCTAATAGAGCAGGCGGTTAAGCCCCAAGGGTGGGAGCTGGCCAGCCAGGGCTCAATCCACGGTTCCTATAATTACCTCCAAAGAAGGCTCGGATCAAGTGGCCCTTTTCAAAAAAACTAGCGGATGCACGTGCGACACTCACGTATTTATAAGAAAATTTTCTTTTATAGTGAAGGTTTATCAAAGAAGTTTTAAGAAATCAGTTCTTATATTTGAGTTTGAGCTCATAGTTCTGGATTGAACCTAGCATGTTACCAATTCTTTTGGATATTCTGTGAAAACAAAAAGTTTCATGTCTATAATGTAAATAAGGTCCAATTTAGTTGGAAAATCAGGGAATATATATATCAGTTTTAATTGTTTTAACGGTAAACAATTATATTTTTGTTAAACTTTTTTGTATTGCAGTAGCCAAAAGAGTCCCGTCATAAAAAGCCTTTGACAGTTTGCGATGTGCACGTGTTTAAAAAAAATCCTTATTAATAGATGAATATGACAATACTTTTTTTATTTTAGCCAATAGCCTTTTGAAATCAAGCCATTTAGTGAAGGGGAAAAAGTTATGCTTGAATTCTTCCATGCATGATCTAATATATATACACACAACAATAGAATATGATCTCTTTCCACATATATCAAGCGCACGGGGATGTGTCTGTTCTGTAATAGTAAAAATGCACGTGCTTCGTTACGGGATGTTTTTGTTATTTTTTTAATATCTTTTCTAAGTTTGATCATTAATGTTAATATTTCATTTCTGGCACTGTCATTATATATGATTTTAATTTTTCTTATATTTTGTAAGTTTTAACATTAATTTAAATTTCATATTTGCACTGCCAGTATTCTTTTTTTCATTTTTTTCTTGTTTTTTTGAATGCCTTTTTTGTTATTTTTATGTTTATTCTGAACAATACACATTTTTTATAATATGATTAATAAAAGGAAATATGAATTAAGATTACAGGCTTTTTAATAGAACTTCATATCCCAAAGATTTTTTAGCGTGTGAACACGGTGACGTGGCGTGGGATTATACGTGTGAACGTGTGCATCTAGGAGGCCAACAATAGGAGAAAGGCCATGCATGATGGCTGGGTAGTGGGTAGCGTGTCCATGAAGGAGCCCCAGATCGTTGTGCTGGCGTGGTTACGTGACCGAGAGGGAGTCGAGACATGGGATTGCAGTTTGGTTGCTTGAAACGTGGTTGGGTGGGATTACACGTGAGGGGGGCGTGGGATGTAAGATCTCGGACGATGGAAGGCTCGTATAAGACGATGTCTAGATCAAACGGTTATTAAAGAGGGATGGTAAGATCTCGGATGACGAAAGCCTCATATAAGACGACAGCTAGATCGGATGGTTACTAAAGATTGAAAAAACTTGTTCTTTTATAGTGTAAAAATATATAATCCCAAGCTTTGTAATGGAAAAGGCAAGATAATTTTGCCAACAAGTACTACTTTTCTCTTATTCTCTCTGTACCGTAGAACCCTAGTATTCCCTTTTATCCCCTCTTTTTGCTAGCACTTGTACCATTGCCGATCACACACACACCGCCGGTTACCGACCGTGAAGGCGGTTTTGGAACTGCAGTGTTAGATTGGGCTGTTAGTAGCAGTGGATGTTCTACGGTTATTTTTTTTTTTTGCTCATACTTATTTGTTTAAAGGCTTACAGGATTCTCCTACCGTACCCCATTGTCGTAGATAACAGGCTTGCAGACACGCTATGCAGTTTAGCTAGCTAGAGCCATGAAATAAATGGCGTATATATAAATAAATGTTTGGTGAGTTTTTTTTTATGATAATGACTTTATTAGGGCCATCTGTTTTTAAGCGTCAGTGAACAGCCATCTCCCTCATCTCCCTCCCCCATCTCGCTGCGCCCACGCCCGACTCCTCCCCTCGCAGCTTCTCCCTCTCTCCCCTCCGGTAGCGGCTCCTCCCTACACGCCCGACGCGGCTCCTCCCTGACGCGCCCGACGTTCACGCGGCTCCTCCTTCCCTCCCCTTCGGCGGTGCCGGCGAGGTAGGCGGGTTCCTCCTCCTCCTGGATCTGTGAGTTAGGGTTCCGGCGAGCTTCTCCTCTCCTCTCCTCTCCTCTCCTCTCCTCTCCTCTCTCTCTCTCTCTCTCTCTCTCTCTCTCTCATCTTTCTCAACTCCGGCGAGCTTATTAGAAGGGAAGGTTTGGGGGAGGAAGGCCGGCCAGGCGGTTGGGATCTAGAGGGTGGTTTAGGGGCCCTAGCGGCGGTGGAGGAGGCCAGGCGAGGTCGAGGTGGGGCGTCGCGGCAGTGGAGCTAGGGGAGAAGGAGGCCATGGCGGCGACGGGATGGGGGGAAGGAGGCAGCCGCGAACACGCTAGGGGACGAGGGACGCCAGAGAGGAGGAGGGGCACCGGAGGGGTGGAGGGCGAGGGAGAGGGAGCCGTTGGCGCCAGAGAAGAAGGTAGCCGTACAGGTCGCCTAAAAAATGGCCGGCCGTTTTTTAAAGTATCCTTTTTTTATATATTACAAGTTATATATATATATATAGGAGTAGAAGTTTATATTGTTCATCAAAGCTTAAACGTCGTCGTCGTCGTTGGCACGAACTCCGGTTGCCTTGTGCTAACGACTGAACCTGCCAACATGGGGGACACGTCGATTTTACAACAATTGCTGCTCTGATCAGGTGCAATGATATCAGAAAATAAACACATTTCAGGGATATATATAATATACTGTATTCATAACCATAAGGTACATTGATCGAGGCAAAAGATTGTTCTTTTTACAAAAACACATACTCAATTCAATTGGAACTGAATAAGACCAATTAGCACCATGGATAGATCCTAGCTATATATGAAACCCAAATAAAAGCGAGCATCCAGGAAGTGAAAACAACTGAAATTATATAAGGATCATTCATATCGATCCATCGTGGATCGATGATCAATCTGTGATACATGATTGGAGAAGGAATACAATAATCAATAGAAGTTGTTGGATCCCTGGTAGGAGAGTCCAGTGGACCACCAGGCGGGGATGGCGTCATCGACGACGATGGTCTTCCGCGGCGAGCTGTAGCAGGTCATCCTGACGACGAGGCCCTTCGCGTTGCCGAGCGCGGCGAACACCTGGTACGTGATGCCCCAGTTGCGCGACGCGGGCACGTAGCTGCAGTCCGGCTCGCCGGCCCTCTTGACGGCCACGTCGCCGACGTCGCCGCTGCCGCCGACGTTCATGACGTACAGCAGGAGCCAGTAGTAGTTGCCCTGCACGTAGAACCTGATCCCGCCGGAGCGCTGGCACGGCACGCGGCGGAACTGCACGGGGACGATGCCCGCCACCCGCGGTGCGAGGATCAGGAACGACGGGGGCGCCATGTCGAAGTGCTGCCGCGGCGGGTTGCACCACCCGCCGTTGTCGCTGGGGAGGTTCCAGTTGGGCGGGCAGAGGTTGGTGCCGGTGACCACGACGGACGGCGAACCCGGGTTGCACCACCGGGAGTTGACGCACCGCAGCTCGTAGCACTGCCCGCACCCGCTGCCGCTCGCGAACAGCGGCGTGCTCAGCGCCGCCGTGCTCGTCGAGTAGAGCGACTGGATGTCGTTGGCGCCGTACCCGCACGCGCCGCCTGCATGCATGCATGCGTTCCAATTATCATTTGCACGCAAAGGCACAAGCAAATACATGCATAGTAAAATACGCCATTGGTCCCTAAACCGGAGGCGGCATTTAGATCCTAAAGTTTTTTTTTCATGTGTCAAACTTGTCTCGGGTTCTAGCACTAGTTCAAATGGGCTTCAGACTCGTTCCACACGCTGAAGTGGCATACTGGCATGTACCGATGCAGCGTGCAGGCCCAGCGCGGATGAGAGACACATGTCCCAGCAGTTAATCGCACGGCCAGGTGATAATGCGCTTTGTGGTGTGCACGCTGGATAGAGAGAAGCACGTGGGATGGGTGGACACGTGTCAACATATGACTAGGATGAGTGGACACGTGTCAACATATGACTGGGAGTCTGCACCCTGCGTCCGTACAGGCCGTCTGCATCTAATTTTTTTCCGGCATGCTAACTTAGCGCTAACGTGAACCTGACACGTTGGTCCAGTACTTAAACTTGTATACGACGGTGCCATCTAGGTCTCTATGTTTTACAATTACATATCTTCTCCTTAAACTTGCTAAACGGGCCATACGACGAGGTACCTAAACTTGTATATATATATATATATATATAGGTTCCTAACCTATAAAATTTGCAAATACAAATCCCCAAACTTGCTAATTGGACCACACGAGATCCAAGTTATTGTTGTTTATGATAAACCGCCTGCGCGTCGGTTACTGACTGTGCACTGGCATGTGGGATCCACATGTTGTTCTGTTCTCTCATCTCTTTCTCGACATCCTCCCATGCCACCGCCGCCACTCTCTAGATCTTGCACCACTGCAGCACGATCACCAGCACTTAAACTTGTATACGACGGTGCCATCTAGGTCTCTATGTTTTACAATTGCATATCTTGCTCCTTAAACTTGCTAAACGGGCTTAAACTTGTATATATATATAGGTTCCTAACCTACAAAATTTGCAAATACAAATCCCCAAACTTGCTAATTGGACCACACGAGATCCAAGTTATTGTTGTTTATGATAAACCGCCTGCGCGTCGGTTGCTGACTGTGCACTGGCATGTGGGGTCCACATGTTGTTCCGTTCTCTCATCTCTTTCTCGACATCCTCCCATGCCACCGCCGCCACTCTCTAGATCTTGCACCACTGCAGCACGATCACCGGCACCAACAATAGCCTGCTACCAACAACTGCAAGATTGCCTTCAAGCAGCATAAACAACACTACATGGCGTGTCACTAGCCTCTGCACGCTCTCTCCTACCCTCCACACACCTACGACTAAGCTTGGCCACCATGACCAAGGCCCGATGGCGGCCGACCATGTGCAAGCCAGGCTCCTTGCTATCGGCTCTAGCGGTGGCTGGATCCATGGGTCGACAGGGTCTTGTTGCATAATGTTGTACGAACACCACCAAACTAAGGGCAATGAGCGTTGTTCGAGCGAAGGAGGGATGATGTGTGGGTCCACATGCTAGGTGCACAGTCAACAACCACACAGTTGGTTTATAGACAAATAGTAATTTGGATCTCATGTGGCCCGATTAGCAAGTTTGGAGACATGGCCGGATGTGTAATTTTAGAAGATATAGGGACCTACATGGCACCAACTTGCAAATTTAGGTACCCTTAGCCCGTTTAGCAAATTTAGGGACCTAGATATGCAAAAAAAAATTATGTTTGGGACCTAGATGGACCCAATATGTCTGATGCCATGTCAGTGTGTGGAGCAAGTCCAAAACCATCTAAATTAATGATGTAGCCCGAGACAAGTTTAATGATCCAGAACTCAAAAAACCGAAGTTAGAACCTTAATGAGCATGTCTCCCAAGTTTATAAATGAAACCGCCGTTGTATATATTTATTTTATTCCACATACACATGCATACTCCAAGTAGTAATATATATAGGGTTAATTGAATCTGTGCCATTATAACTTTACCGTTTTTGAAGCACATCATTACCGTGTCCCTCTGTCCTACTCAATGACGTATTGGGCCCACGTGTCATCCTTCTCCCATCCACTTTCTTCCTCGTTCCAGGCCGCACCCTCTGCTTTGCGTCGCGAGCCACTACGTCCTTGCTGGCGGCGGCGTGCCTCCGCCCCTCATCCTTTGCCTTCCCTTGTGAGCCCTTGCCCGTCCCCGGCGCCACGCAGCCTTGGACGGCGCCGTCGCTAGTGGTGCGCCGCCTGCCCGACCCCCTCCACCGCATCCCGCTTGCGGGGCGGCGCGGCGCCACTCTGGGCTCGGCGCGCCTTGCCGCCGCAGGCTGCCGCCGCCCCGATCCGGCTAGCCGGAGCCCCGTCCCGACCAAGAAACCTCGAGCCCAACCCCAGCCCCCATGGCGGAAAGCGCGTGTGTGTGGGCTGCCGTCTTGCCGCCCGAGCGGCGTCGCGTCGCGAGCCGCTGTTACTGCCGCCGAAGCGGCGCGCAGCGAAGACGAAGCCCTTCATGCGCGCCATTCTTTGCCCTTTGCCGCGATGTGGCGCGTGGGCAAGCATCTGAGACCACCGTGCCGCTTCTACTGCCGCTAAGCGGCGGGTGGGCGGCGAGGTCGCGCCCATTGCCGTGTGATCGAGCGGCGGGTAGAGACTGCGGCGTGCTAAAGTCGTCATGACCGGCGCCAAGTCGGAGATGGAGAAGACAGAAGGGAGGGGGCTACTGCGCTGCTGCCGGAGATGAAGACAGAGAGTGAGGAAGACGGTGGGGAAGACTGACGAGTGGGCTCCATGTGTCAGCGAGGGTAAGAGAGAAGAGTAAGGGGGCAATCTTATCCATACTGATATACGTTACCCCTCTATACGTCTGGCAGTGGGCCCAAGTCATCTCCAAGCGTACATAATGGCGTATCTCAAACATCTGTAGAATTGCAATGGCAGTGGCATAGTTTCTTGAATAGTAATGGTGTGCTTAAAAAAATGGTGAAGTTATAATGACACAGATCCAATTAACCCTCATATATTATATAGAGGCGGGAACGTAGTACGTACCGAAGTCTGCGCCGAGGCCGGAAGCGTCGCCGTAGAACGTGGCGCTACCGTCTTGCCAGTCCGACGTCGTGAAGGGCGCGGCGGCTTGGTAATAGCCGCTGCCGCTCGCGAGGTGTGCTGCCGCCATGATCAAGGCCGCGACGACCACGATCGCCGGAGCTCTCGACGCCATGGTATATATACGAACTGTAATGTGATGTATGAATGAATAGAACAGAGCTAGCTAGCCGGCCGGCCGACGACCCTTGGTCGATCGATAGAGATGGATGCAACGGGTGTTGCACTGTGCTGGCCAGACCAGACGAGCGGGTTGACGTCGTTTATAAAGCAGCAGCAGTTAGGTTAGGTAGCGGGATTGCCCGGCCGGCCGGTACGACGTGTTGTGTTGGGCAGCACGTTGATGAGATGAGAGGGAGGGGGCTGGAGTGGAATACCTGCACAGCTCGTCTCGAGTTCGTTGTTGGGCGCACGTACGATATATAGGTTTTGCGATTGGTCAAATTCTGTCGTGTTCATGGCCGGGCGATCGAGCTGCTCTACTCTGCTCACCGAGAAACGCATCATTTGCTTCCTATTATACAGCACAACATGCTAGGCACGCACTGCATGCCTCTATTTATATCTCTCTCTTTTCTTCTTCTTATTACATTTATTTATTTATTTATTTCATAACATCTTTGCTACATAACATCTTTGCTAACTGCCTTAATGGTGTGTGGATTAAGGAGTGTGTAGAGATAAACCATTTTAGTAATCCACGGACCTTTTAATACCCGTGTCATATAAGCTAGGCCATTTTCAGTGGATAGTTCCATATCTTTGTTTCTAATACTGTCACGTCATATGCAATGAAATAAAGCTAGATCCACTCTCAATGTAAAATTTCATTCTAAAGTTTCGTAGGCATTTTAATTTCATAACTCATAGTGGTTGATAAGAGAGTTTCTCCTTCTTAAATACGTTGTCATGCCATCAAAACTATCTATGTGGCAACATATTTAATGCAAATGAAACTTTCACTGAAACTGATCTAAGGCATGCTGGAGAAGAGATTGTTTGTAAAATGCAAAACAGTTTTCAATAATTACCGGTTCGAGGAATGTAAGCATAACATGTTCAAAAGGACGCGGCGACGGTGTTGTTATATTCCGATGGCAGATTGGCTCCGTTGTCTTTTTTTTTAGGGACGCAGCCCAAATCAACTGAGCAACGTGGGCCTTGAAACATCCGGCCCGTCAACCACGTGGTGCTCGTCCTCCCCGCGGGTGGGCCGGCCAGCAAGCCAACCCAGCCCACTCCGGCTTGTGGCCCGCACGCGAGCCCCTGCCATGGGCCACCAGCAGGGAGAAGCAGCCCACTCGAAGCCTGCCCTTTCCATCCTTTTTCTGATTTTCAGAAATTCTTGGCCACCTTTAGAAATTCATGTCTGAAAATGATTTTCTGCACACAGTGTACAATGTATTTTTTTTCATAAAAAAGAGAATTTTGTTTCAGTTTCTGCATGAGTTACACAGTCAACAATCCCTATTACAGTCCAGCCAATGGCTGTTAAAAAAAGCAATCTCACAAATAACTATAAAAAATAAAATCCAACAAAATTATTTTCTTTATACACAGTTGACAAGAAAATATTAATATGGCCTGGCCGGCTGGTCCCTGTGTAAAAGTGTCCGAGCTCCGCCACTGCAGATACCAGAGCTAAATTTGCCTTAACCGTGCAACATGCTAGCTCCTTTTCATTTTGATGATGTGGGAGTGGGACCATAACAGGGAATTTGGCTACAAACAATAAAACTTTTCATCCACAAAAAGATCCTTGCTGACTTTTCTTTATTGTTGTTGTTTCAGCTAACTTAACAGGCAACATTATTTGTTTATTTAATTTTATTATATATTTATATACGTTCCTTTCATGTATGTTTGGTTTGGTTGATGGTGGTGGTTATCCCACTCTAGGATCAAACGTGGCTGGTTTAAGGCCTTTCGTGCCCCCTATCCAACATGGATTATGTCATTAATTGAATTTCTCCCACAATTTTGAGGAGCCTAATTTGGCCACGTACTTCTTTTTTGTGTGATGTAAGGTAATAAAGGAGATGCTTTTGTCAACTACATGGAATTTTTGTTTTTATCGTCGTTCGTTGATAATAGATATTGTCGGTGTTTCGTAAACCGGACTAGTAAATTTATACGATTGTCGTGCTGTTTAAGTAAGATGATGGTAGCATCCAATAAACACGAGGATTTATACGGGTTCAGGCCGGAGCCCTACGTCCAGTCTCAGAGAAGATTGAGTGTGTTCCTCGCTTAAATGCTCTAAAGTTCTTACAATGGGGGTGCAAGAATGGTGAAAGAGGTGATAGAACATATGCTAGACGAGGGGCAGCCTAAAGAGAAGCTCCGGGAGCCATACTGCTATGGTGAATGGATAGAATGGTAAAGGATGAAGAATGTGAAGATGTTCCGAGACGGGAGCCCTGCTACCCTTACATAGAGTTCGGGGCCAGGGCTCGTTACAAAGAGAAGGTTCCCCCGACCGAAGGGTCGAGAGCCTGAGAGAGGTCCTACCTAACTTGGCTTGCAAGCTACGCCGTCTTCTGATGCTTGCCCGGGCGTGGCTGTCTTCATGGTCTTATGGCCACGTCGCAGCAGGGTCTAACGTGGTGCTACTGTGCTGGCCATGGCAGCACTGTAGTCATGGTGATGGTTCGTCAGCTGTCCTGTGCAACACGGCATCTATCGTGGTCTTCGCCGTCGTCTTCAGGTTTCCCGAGGTGTCGTACCCGTAGTAGGTGGCCGCCCCGGGTCGTTGTTCACCTGGTCGCTCCGTGGGGCTGAGGGCCACGACCTTGATCGTTGGGGTCAGGGCACTCCGCCAGCCAGGAAGGTCTCTAGGTCGAGACCCTTGTCATAGATCCCATCCCGTAGTGGGTGGGATCGTACGCGCGTCCTGTCGGTCTGTATTCGGACAGTGGGTTTCGTACCTGTTGCCACCACTGTGCGGTGCTATCTCATTGGTGCGGCGTGGCACAGGGATGGCACCTGATAGGACTATGGTGACTGATGTCCCCTCGGTCCTTTGTGAGCTCAGTGCCGTGTTCCTGCTTTTGTTAGAGCAAGCATACTAAGCCACGCTCGATCTCTCCCCATCCTGCCTAGGGGTCGTGACGGGGGAGAGGTCGCGCGTCTTCCACGTGGCTAAGGCAGGAGAAGGGGTCGTGGCTGACCCTAGCCTAGGCGTTGGTTCGGCGTGCTCGTCCTAGCTGGGCCTCGGTCGCTCGGGCCATTGTTAACTCAATGAGTTGTGGGCCGCGTGGTCTACCAACTAATCGGCGCCTTGAGACACCCTGGGGTCATAACCTCGATAGTAGCCCCCGAACGTTTTTGCGAGCATGAAGTGATCATGAAAGCGCTGATATGCGTGTTCGTACAAAACATGGGCTCGTGGTCGTGGCCCACTCGAGCTTCGTTGCTCGACCCCCTGTGGGCTGACGCATTCAATGCGGCGGGTGGCCATTACGATTTGTCCTATCAGGACGTCATGTCGTCATGGTATATGAATGTCCTACCTTGTCGCGTCAGTGGGCTGTGTATTGGGGTTTGTGATCCAGGCAGGGCCAAGCGTTCTCATCAACACTGTGTCGTTCCTGCCTTTGGAAAGATCTTGATTTTTCCTAACCTCGCACGGGTATCTGACGCTGGCTATGACTCCCCATGGTTCACCACGCGGCACGGGGTTTTAAGGCCGTTGGGTCCGCCTTTGGACCTATAAATAGGGGCCTTCCTTTTGTTTTGGACTTTCCTTGCGGCGCGCCCTTGAGGTTGCGCCTTTGTCTAAGGTAGCCGGATAAATCGTTTGATACGAGGAACCGTGTCCCTGACCCCGTTTTCATATGGCCGCGAGGATTTTTTGCGGTTGTACGTCGGCTCGTAGGTCTTGGACCTTTGCTTCTTTTGCGTGACCGAGACGCGATCACGCTTCGGGCTTCGCATTGCGTGTTGCCCTGGCCTTTTTGCTTCGTCGATCTCTCCCGGAAAGGTCATGGACCCCTGACGGTTTGTGAGTCTCTGGAGCAGGCCTTAGGTCTGAGACCTGGGTCACCGGGCAGAGTTGGTCGGGGCTTGGCCCTGACCTCTTTTGGGGTCATGGGGACCCAACTCCGTTTTTCCCTAGCGTCCTTGCCGACCTTGAGAGGTCGTGTTGCCTTGTAACGGACGGGTCTGGTTTCGCCCCACGCGGGGAGAGGCATGTCCACCGTAACCACATGGTCGGAGCGGTGTGCCTCGTCGGGGTCTATGGGTAATCCGAGCGGGACACGATATCCTCCCCAATCGACATGGAGTTCGGCTATGCCTCACGTGAGACGTCCCATAAATCGTCGACTGTCAATCCCGTTTATCCCTAACCGCCTCCGCAGCGGCCAGAGGGCAAGATGCCTCCCCCCAGACGGGGTCAACCCGGGAGACTTCGAAGCGGACGACTTGGACATAGGGAGAGACGGTCGTGTGGCTCCGCACCACCGATTAGAGCTGCAGGGGCCTAGCTCCTTCCTGCCCCTATCCCTTTGTGGCCTCGAGCCCTTCTAAGGGCCGGCCCAAGAGAAGGTTTCCTAAGCACGGCACAGGGTCATGGATGTGGAGGGTCGCTCGGCGTGTGAACCTAGGGGGTTGGCGACCTTCCCTGGCCACGTCACATCTTGGCGGTGCCCTCTTGTAAATGGTCGTGCGCCGTAAATCGTGGGCGCGTTAATCAAAAGTTAATGAAGGCGAAAGGTTCGAGGCTTACTCAGGATATGTTGCTGTGCTGGCGCCGACTGCTCGATCTTTCGCCCGGCCGCCTCCCCTGCGTTGCGAGAAGGTGGTTTGTGATTGGCGGAGTAAATGCACATATTTGATGTACCTCCTACGACCGTTGCTAGGTCTTATGCCGCTTGGCAGGCTAAACCACCGCGTCTTCTGCCTCTTGATTGTGAGTGCGTCTTGAAGCTCGCACCCGTCTTGAACACCAACCGCCGTCTTTTCTGCTTTCATCTTTGTGCCTCCTATTTAAGCTGAGCGAGAGGAGGGTAGCGAGTCTCATCCCCACTTCTCCCCCTACTTCTAAAATTTCCCCGGCGTCCAGTCTGAGTGAGAGAACGGTTGTCTTCTTTGAGCGTCGTGGATCGCGGTCCG